ACCTCATACCTCCTAGTCCCAGCCAGTCTGAGAGGGGCCTTTGATTGCCATGACTTAGGGTTCATGTTTCTCCCTAAAACCAGCCATCCTAGTGAAGGATGCTATATTATGGTTCTTCAGAACTAGGTTATATGCCCATCTTTGGAGTCAAGGGTCATATTGGCCCAAATAGCAAAGAGAAGAGGGGAGTGGTCATTCCAGAAAGTTGCTGTTCAGGCAAGAATACCAGTCCAGTAAATAAAACAAGAGGAAATTGAAGGTATGGTTGGTGAAGTATATCAGATATTATAAGAGAAAGCAGCAGAAAAAGTCCTCACATTTAGAAGGCAGGAATTTTTGACCTTTGAAAGAGAAGAAAGTTTAAAGAAGAAGAAAAAAAAAGGAAATCAGATTCTAATGTACTTGGTGAAATACCCTCATTGAATTTACAATACGTGTTAACATGATTGTCAGTGAACTGGAGTGAGGTGACAGCCATTTGGGAATGTAGCAGGGTACAGGCAAGATCTTTCAGGAATAGCAATGACTGAGTATGTTTGTAGGCAGAGAAGTTTCTAGTAGAAAGGAAAATTATAGAGAGATGGAGGGCAGAATTGGCCCCAACAGGCCCTGCAGCCAGTAGGAGAACAGGTAAGATCTCTGCAAGAAGGGTCCCCAAAAATTAAAAAGTTCCCCCAGATTATAATATGTGAGCTGTGTTGTAATTTTTTTAAATTTAATTTATTTATTTGTGTAGAAGACCTGGGGTGTAGGCCACAGGTACAGGGGTAAGAGGATTCACCAGAGACAGAGTGGGGAGCAGAACAGGCAGATTGACGAAATACACTGCTGAGGGGAGCAGCGGGCGAGGCAAGGATTTAGATTCCTGGTGATGAAGGGTGGGTGGAAGGGAGTTTGTAAATCTTGAAAGGACATGGCAACTGTTCAGAAACCACTGATGACTGAACATGTCATGGATTGAAAGGACACAAGAGAGGAGGCTGAGCTAATATCATTACTCTCAAGTTCATGCAGGGTTTTCCTTTGGATGATCGACCTCATCGGAACTCCAAGCCCCTGGAAAACAGAGAAAAGTGAGAAGAGAATAAATTTATAGCTATAGAGTAGTGATTCCTTTGGAGTAAGGGTTAAATCATAGAATAGGTTTTGGCTCTGGATCATTTAATTTGAATTCAGACTCTCCTACTAGACACTATCAGGAGGTTGCAAAAGAAGGGCACGACAAGGTTTCTTTCATCAAGAAGCTTATAAACTTTTTGAGCCTTTAAGACTTAAATAAATCCAGAGGAGGATAAAAAGACAATATAATGGAGCACGGAATTGAAAAGGACCCTGGGTCAAAATGTGTGCTGCGGACTGTAAGTGCCATGGGCAGTCAGGGGAAGACAGGACTTTGTGTCATTTTTCCTCTGGAGAGAGCATGAAACTGTCAACCTGATGTGATTTCCCAGGTCTGCTGGGGGGGCTATTGAACAACTTGGTTTCACCACATTTCTTTTCTTGCCCTCTCTTTTCTTTCTTAGTTTGCCAACGTTCATCAGAACCATGAAGTCATAGCAAAGGTTTGCATTTCAAGGCTGACCTTTTGGAGTATTGTATAGGTTTTGGCTCCATGGGAAACTTGGAGGCTAAAATACATTTTATCCTGAGTTTCTTAAATGGAAAGAGACTCAAGCAGAAGTTTGGCTTCTTCTTGTCAAGCTGACTTTGAAAGTTACTCCATTCATGGGCAGAACATGAATGAACCTGTCTAAGAATGCCTTCGTTTTGTAGGATAAAGAAAGCAAATTACTGCTTTTCCTTCATGGAAGAATTAAGTTGTCCCAGATCTGGGGTGATAGAGAACAAGAAAACACTTCAGATGAATACAGTATTTCCATTGTTCTTTATATTTTTTGGTCTCATGCGACTGACTCACCTGGCTGAGTAAACAGATAATAAAATCAAGAACAGAGGGCCTCCCTGGTGACACAGGGGTTAAAAACAGCGCTATCAAGCTACTGCCAGCCACTGCAGCATGAGTTCCATCCCTGACGGGCCAGGGAGCTACCCACATGGCACAGCAGACCTCTCCTGTCTTGCCCGCTGCTCCCCTCAGCAGTGTATTTTAGTCAATCTGCCTGTTCTGCTCCCCACTCTCTCTGGTGAACCTTCTCACCACCCCCACCACCTCTGGTTTACACCCCAGTTCTTCTATACATAAATAAATATTTTTTGTTGTTGTTGTTGGAACCCTTGCCATCGGCCTGGGAACCAACTGTCGCTGCAGAGGTTGCAGGCAGCCTTGCAGCCCAGCGCTCAACTGCTGTGCCACCAGGGGAGGCCCATAAATAAATAAATCTCTAAAAAAAAATCAAGAGCCAAGAGAACAGACTCAGAGGACTCTCTTGAAGGTTGGCGTAAATGGCAATTAAGTCCAGGTGATAAATGATAAAAATATCCAAATAGTCAAGAAGAAACCAGCAAATTTGGAACCTAATGCAAGGTACTAGAAGGTGTTTTTCAGAAGTTGACGTGTAATGTGATCTGTTTTTAGCCCCTTTTGGGGAGGGATTTCTTAACTCCAGCTGTGACATGCAGGTGTTAACTGAGCTCTTCCTTTTATTTCACTATGATGGTGGGTGACTCCAGATGCATTAGGAAGCCAGAGTCTTCCTTCCTGTCACGTCAAGTTTAATACCTGCATTGAATGGCGTTGCTCTGGCAGAAACAGCTAGTGTTTATTGTCTGATCGCCCAGCAGTTGGAAAGAATTATCTCTTATTTCAGGTATTAAGAACGGTCCTGTTGTTCATTTCTTATTGAGATATAATTGACATGTAACATTAGACAGCATGATAGTTCCACATATGTATTTATTGTGAAATGAACGCCACCATAGCTCTAGTTAGCATGGAGTCCATTGCTCATTTCCTGACCAAGGACACCCAGTTGAAATGACCGGGGCAGGGCGGCAGGGGAGGGAATATGCAATATTTGCCCATCTTTGCTCAGAGCATTTAACGTGCAGGCTGTTTTCTCTACTTGGGAACTCCAGGCCTGGCTAACTTCAGCTCATTTTTCACTTCCCTGCTAAAAATGTAACTTTGTAAGAAAAGCCTTTCTGAGCCCCCATCCTTCCAAATGAAATACCCCCTTTATGCTTGCAATTCACCTTTATTTTTCTTTCAGAATGCCTATAGGATTTTCAATTTTACATATCTGCTAAAAATCGTATATTATGATTTTTGAATGTCTCTCCCTCCTGAGGCAACAGGTTCCCTAACGTTCCAGTCCTTATCTATTTTGCTCACCTTTATGAACATAGAACTTGGTGACTGTCACACACTCCAAGTACGGTTTTTATTGAGCGGATGACTTACTAAGAAAACACTACGGGTGGGGGATTAGGGTCAAAATAAGGGGGGTGGGAATTGTATGGGGAATATAACCAAGATGAAAATGCATACATTGTGCAAAAATGATATAATAATTATATAAAATAAAATATAAAAAAAGAAAAATTAAAAACAAAAGAAAACATGTTGAGACTGTATCACTATAGTAGCCATAATATAATATATATTATATATTATAATATCATATATTACTATAATATAATAGTATAATATAATATACTATTTCTGTCCTGATTTTTCTATTTTTTTTTGTTGTTGTTCTTTATTTTGAAGTATACTTGTTGGTGTTTTACTGGCTCCAAATCTTATTGGTCATCTCCTATTTTTGAAATTAGAGGCTACTTTTTTTCCCTTCAAAAACAATACTACACCACAGTGTTAACACTGCAGATCCTACTCCTTTGTAGGATTTTTCTTATGGCTTGGAAAAAGAACATATGACTGGTGCTTATGCACATTTATTTGGGAAGCAAACCGGATTCTGGGCAGAATGTAGGTGTGATGTCTCCTGTCATCTGCAAAGCCACTCATGTACGTTTCTCTCTTGCAAGGATAAACAACAAGTCAGAATAACTGGATGACATTGACCCAGGAAAACCTGTCTTAAATGAGAGGGGGGAAATCAAGGTGTGGAAAATATTAACGGTCAAGGATCTAAATAGGTCTTTTCTTTAAAAGCAGTGAACAGAAAATTACCCTTCCTTTTTTGGCTGCCCTCTGAGCTACTTCTGTGTGTAAGTGTTCTCCTTGGTGGGCAGAACTGGCGCACGGCCAAGTGGAAAATTTCACAGCCCTGCAAACAGCAAGTGCCCCGAACTTTGCAAACCAGCAATGTGGGGGAGCCAGTCGTGTGGCGTGGGCCAAATAATGATGCGTCTGCAGAGGCCTCTCGCGCCACCCTTACTACTCCCTGCTCTTCCATTCCTGCTTCTGGCCTTCACTTTCTTTCTCCCAGGGATTCCAGAAGCTTCCATTTCTGGTTCTCTGCTTCTCTGGATCCCTTGGTGCAAGGGAAGTTTTAGCACAGTGACCCATGCAGACTTTAGGGTGCCCCGGGCATGGCTGGTTGTTGATACTTAGCCAGAGCTGCCTTTTATATTCTGGCTCAGAGCGCAGTCACAGCTCTGATACCACTAATAATACTTTGTGTTTACATAGTGCCTTTCTTCCCGGGAACTGTGAGTACTTTGTGAGAGTGATCTTATTGATCTGCCCAACAACCCAGTGAGCTATGAAAATGGCAAAAAGTGATAGTGCTCGCTCCCTCCCGTGTTGCAGAGAGCAAAATCAAGTGGCCAATTTTGAGGCTGTGTTGCAAGTTTACATCTCAACTGGAATTCCATCTGAAGTCTCCTGAATTGGCTTCAACATTATGGGAGGGGGGTAGGTGACTGGGGGGGTGTGGTGGTTGGCAGTGCCACTCTGGGTCCCCTGGGGCAAGAGCAAAAATCCCAAATTTCTTTTTTAAGAAAATGGTAGTGGGAAATGGTCTTTGGTGAGCTCTCAATTAGTCTAACTGATCCTGAGGCCTCATTTGTGGAAAACAAGTGATTGGATGATGCATTTACCGTTTTCTTTCTCTGCTGTTCTGTTCCCCTGCTAGATTGCTCGCACTGCTCGGTGAAAGGAAGAAAGAGCCGTCCTGCCCAAACCCAGGAGCACTCCAGCTTCCTGTGGAAGTCTCCATGGTGAAGGATAGGCTGGGGCTATCTGTGAACAGCGCACAGTGAATGTTGTAAGTTACGCGCAACATCTGCAGCGGCTTGCCTCGCAAGGATTTGTGAATCATGGCATGTAACTGAGCCAGGGTGATGAAGGGGTATTAACATTAGCTCTAGGTGATCATCCAATTAATTTCTTTTTTTAGGGGAGAGGTTCTGTTTTTATTTGCCATGAGCTTGCCTTTCTCTCAGCTTCTGTGGGGCACTGCTCATTATCTGCTCCTGGAATAAAAGAGCAGAATACAGTGATTCTTTCATTGCAGGAACGCCCTTTCTCCGGGTACAGTTAAATAGTATCCCATTTAGAGCAGCTTCTGAAGACTGGGCTGGCAGCACGGTGCTTTTGGGGTGGTGGAGAGGCGGGGTAAAATCCCTGGGGCTGTGAGGCGGCACCCACAATTTCTACGCAGCCTTTGTATTTATTTATCTGAAGTTTGTCGATTGGAATTTAATTTTGCTGGCTTTCACAGATCTGAGAAAAGCAACTGCAGTGCGATACTTGATGTGCTTCTCTTATTCAAAATGGGCTGTTTTACGGGGTTTTTTCAGGTTACTGGCTGGGATTTTGAGAGTAGTAGTTTCTGCGTGTCAGCTGCTGGTCACCTGTAGTGAGGAGTTTCAGTATCAAATTATAGAAGAGCTGGCACCTTGCAGGCCTCGAGGAGCTTAGCCGCCATGAAATTCTTGGGTTTCCCCAGCTCTGCTGCTTTCTGAGGATTCTACCTCATGGCTAGACTGTGTCACAAAAAAAGTTTGCAATAGTTTTGACCAGGAAAGAATACAGCTGTCGGAACTGCAGCTGATCTGTGAACAATATTATCTTTAAATTTTAGAAAATAAAGAGTCAGCTCTGACTAGGTTTTGTGGTGTGTGTGTGTGTGTGTTTATATGTATGTATTTGTATATACATATATATTTATATTCACATGCTTTATATATTGTAGATGTGTATGTATATATTACATAAATACTAAAGTATATATTTGTGTGTGTGTATATGCATATATTACCTGTTAAGTTTTCAACTTCTTAGTAATTCAGTCAAAACTTTCCTAGGTATTTGTTACCAATTTATTTTTCCAGTTGCATAAACGATTTTGGAAAGAGCAAGATAAACTAATACAAGGGTGTTTGTCAGGGAGAAAAAGCATCAATACTAAAAAGAAATATTTCCAATAAATAGTTTTATTTCATTTTTTAAAAAAATTTGTATTCCTATTTCCTCAGGTTGAAATAGTCGATCATATTAAAAAAAAAAAATTAAAAAAAAAAAATCTCCCAGTGTCTTGTAGCAATGGCTAATAGGGGATGCTGGCATTTTCTCATTAATATGTTAAATTTTTCCATTTTGTATATGTGATCACACTCGTTCTAAATGCACAGCTCCTATAATCAATTGACCTGAATTTTATTCCTGATTCTACAGTCAAGGTCAAGTTACAAACCCCTTGTTCTTTGTCGGCGCCTTTGTATTCCAGGCTTCTTGTTTGTCCACCTGTTAGCACCTTGGTTTGGGTTCCCCATTACAGGGAAAGCATTTTTTTAATGCACTTTAATACAAAACAGATCTCTTGTTGTTAAAGTTTCTATCACTATCAAGGGAAAATTTGAGCCCTGCTAGATTTGAGTGCTACCATAGCAGTGTGTTTTACTAGAAATTATTTTCTCAATCAGGTGGCTGTTAGAATGTACTTCTGGCGATGTTTTTCTTAAGCATTTTTATCCAGTGTCTTATGAAAAAGTTCTTTGGTTTCAGGTTACATTGAAATGAACAGTGCAGTTACTATAATCAAGAAAGCTCTTGATTCTAATCTAACTTTTGATTCTAATCTGATGGTGGTTGTTCTTTTTTCTTTTTTTAAACCATTGCTTTGAACTGCTCATGTGATACCCTTTCAAAACTGAAACATTAAGTGAGATTTTCAAAGAAGTTCTGAAGTGTAAACTTTAAGATGCCGCATGGCCAACTTAAAGTCATTTAAAAATCCTTCTGTAAATAAAGTGGGTTAAGAGAGAGGAAGAAAATACTCAATTCTAGTCATCTCCTTTAGTGCTAAGAGCTTTCTCTTCCAGATTGCATCAACTTGAAAGGGGTGTCCCAATTTTCTTAGTAAAATTTGAAATCAGTAACCTTTAGATAGCTTGACAGACTTTACAACTCTGAGTTTGTATTTTCCCGTCAATTTTGGTGTTCTGTGTGCCATTTAATAGGGCAGGGGTATGACTATGGTATATGAATATTTGGGTAATAATGGTAGCAGCTATTGGACTTAGTAATTTCTGTCCTCAGCAGTCCCTGTAGGAGTGTACCCTAACTCTTTACTTCTCGGCACTCCTGACTTGCTCCCACTATCCACCTCTCAAATTTGCCCCTATTTAACAGATGGATTTTGCTCTTGAAATTGTCTCAAACCCACTCTATGACAGGGTCTTCTGCAAGAAAGGAGTGTAATGAAGCTAAGAATCAGGGGACATGAGCTATGTGCATGGGGCTGCAGTTAGCTGTATCTTCCTGACCTGCCTAAGACCCCAGGGGCCTGTTTTAAGAGGAAGAACATGAGAAAGTTAAGCGATCTCTGGTTGTGTCAAACATTGCCTTGGATGAGGTAGATGAACCTTATGCTGTTTGGTTTGGAATGTCAAAAACTTCAATTGAGAACTTATTTACAACATTGAACATAGTCTTAGGGTTATGAAGAAGAAGAAAAATGATTGTGTCAGTCACCATCACCCTTCCCACAGCACCCTACGGGGCGCACCTGACAATTCAGAGCTGTTCCTTCGAGGGCTGTCCAAGAATGGAGCTTTAGTTGCTTAAATTTAAGATGCACACTCATTGGTCTTTTTGAAAATTAAATACGAAGTACTTTTGAAGTTAACTTTAAATAATTGAGTCAAGTTTTGCTGACTTTATAAGCAGGGAGGCAGTGATGTGTATTTCTTTGCTGAAATTCCCTGCTTCCTTAAGTTGGACTTCTCCAATTTCTGGTTCAAAGCAGCCTTACCTGACCTGCACAAATTAATATCACTCCATGTCTGTCTAGCCTCTAGCCTGCTTACTCTTTCTTTCCACAACTTACACATTTTTATATTTATCTGTTAATTGTCTCTCTTTTTAACTGGACTGTAAGCTCCATGAAGCAGGGATTATATTATTATTATTATTATTATTCCCCACTGAATCCCCAACACCTTTACTGCTGCATCATCCAGGATGGGCCCTCACTATATAGCTGTTGAATAAATGTCTAAGGACAGAGCAAGTGTTTTCCTAGACTTCCCATGCGTGGGTCTAACACATTAGGAAGGGAGAAAACTAAATGTGGTTCTAATGAGAATTGCTTGAATTTGATAGGATAGGGGTGGCAGAGAGAGACTAGCCTATTTTCTTTTCTTCAGAAGTAGCTGTGAAATGCCTATGATGTATATAAGTGAATGTGGGGAAGGAAACAATTTATTTTTAAAAAAGAAAAGGTCTTAGAGAACTCTAAGAGAGTTTGGGGATTTTCTGTTCTTAAACAATCCTGTACTGCGTCTATTTCCTCCTCTTAGCCATTTGAGTGGTTTGCTGTCTCAGTTGACTCTAAGCAGCCTGCCCTGGCGTTCTGTGGATGATAGTGGTTGTGTCGCTTATAATCACATCATTTTCTCATTGTTTATGTTGAACATTTGTTCCAAAAGTGGGATCCAGTTGCGAAGTGCTGGGTCTACCTAGAAACTCATCATTTTCTGAATGGCATCGTTTTCGTGTTCTTTGCTTTTGAACACTGCACAATTTGGAATGCAGGAACAGTGTTCTAGAACCATCTTATGTCTTTGTGATGTGGAAAAGGAAGTCCATAAATACTATCTTAGGGACGCATCATCCCCCCCCTTGATTTTGAGGATAGCAAACGTAACAGCTTCTTGAAGTAGCTTCTCTGAGTACATTATTCTGCAGCAGCAATGGGAGGACCTAAGAAAACACTTCTGTGCCTAGAGAGACAGCACGAGGCTGGCTTTATAAACTTTGAAAAATGGTAGCTGAATTTCTAGTCTCCGGAGTAAAAGAATTACACATGCACACTCTAATAAGAGTGATTTGGGGTTTCCCTATGTGAGTGTCAATTTGTACCTTTTAGATTTGCCATCTGTGGTATCAAATTCTCTTATGCGATCATAAAAAAAGAGCTGAAGTAGAAATGGGGTTCAGGAGATAAGGGGAGACTTTCCTGTTAGATAAATGAGGGAAAATAGTCCCCTTTTTTTGGCCCCTGCTTTGATGGCCCTGAAAATGGGCCTGCCTGTTATACATCCAAAGAGGCCTTCGCTGAGCCTACGCCAGCCCGTGCTCTGGGAATTCCTGTGTAGCCTCTAGTCCTGTAGGGTTTTCTGTCTCACCCATTTTTTTCCCCTCTCCTTGCCTTCCTCCAGTTGCTAATTGGTAGCTTTCTACTTTCTGGCTATTGCCCCTTTGGGGGGGAATTTTGCTACTTCTGAGAATTGTTGTCAAAACTGTTTTCCTAAGTCCGGCATTTCGGACACACCCTTCCCCTCAGCACCCTGTTCCCCAAGGGCTCAGCCTCCTCGCAGATCTCCTAGAGAAGGGAAGCGCACGGAACACCCAGAAATTGTAGAAAGAAAAATATTCATGTATCTCCTACAAAAGTCATGTTCTGTGGAGAAGAGGAAACATCAACAGCCCGTTAGACAGCTTTCTAACTGAATAGCGCTGAGGTAAAAAGTCGTGTATCTGATTTCAGTTTAGAATTCACTAGATAAATCATATTTATTAAAAGACTGCTATGTGCCATGGCGTGCCCAAGTCTGTTAGCGATACACTCATGAGTAACTAAATTTACTGCCCTCACAGACTTCAGGAGAGCACGTGGGAGGTTGTACTGGGGCCTGTCAGGTGCCCCAAGGGGGAGACAAGTAGTATGCTTTAGCATTTCCAGGGAAGGCTTCAAGGACTGCTGACCATCTGAATTAGGCCTTGAAGGGGATGTCACAATCAGCCAGGTTATTATATGCA